TGGAAGCTACCAGCATGAGTTTGACCAAACTTTGGGAGGCAGTGGAAGACAGAAGTGCCTGGCGTGCTCTGGTCCAGGGGGTCATGATGAGTCAAACACGACTAAACGACTAAACAACAACAACAAAAGGAGAGCCATCAGGATGACAGACAAAGATATTATTACAAAAGGTATAGGCAGGTGTGGCCCTCAAACCACTTATGAGTGCCAGAGCATGGGTTATAAGAAGAAAAGGGCCCCTGAGCATATACAGAGTGCCTTTTCTTCAACAAGAATTACCCTGACACAGTTGGATTCATAGGCACGGAAGGAGCGTTGAGTCTCAAGTAGAACTGGCACCTTTCATTTTAGGAATTGCTGGAGATCCTTCTCTGGGCTTACAGAATCATAGAATTGTAGTATTGGAATGGGGACCCCAAGGATCATCAAGTCCAACCCCCTGTGATGCAGGAATAATTTAAGGTATGCGGTCTAAACACCAGTCTCAACACAGTATTTGGGTTTAAGTATTTCTAAAACACGGAGAGAACATCCGATCCAGCGATTGTACCAAGAATTCTCCCTCTCTCCTGCCTTGCATATGTTTGCTTCTCTGCCCTGACTTCTGGTAGTGAAAGTATTTTGTTTCCTATGATGTAAAAGGCAAAGCATACATAAGATTATAATTTCCATCTGTGGGATCAAAGGGCACTGCTACAGAAAGAACCACAAGCGTTTGATTGGCTGTAGCGGCGTTGTCCCCACACGCACCTCCTCTTGCAAAAAAGAGAGAGAGGGAAAAAAATACAACTTTGAGCAGAAGCCAAGCGAGAGCAACCACCAAGATGCGATCATAATTTGCTTCCGAAGCAGTTTTCAGTGTGCAAAAAGGGCTCTGCAAAGCATTGTGCCTTTTCTCACAATCAGCCTTGAGAAACTGTTGGCTCACTCGGCCTGCTTTCTGGATAAAGGAGCACTGAAAGCGTTTGTTGTTGACTAGTCAAGAGGGAGGGTCTGGTGGCACATTTTTTGGCAAAAAATCAAGAGCCACTAAGTGCAGGAAATCTCCCGGGGTTGTTCTGCCCATTGAGACATGGTCACCAAAGTGGACAGCCAGTTGGTTCCTTCTGAGAGACTGAGGGGAGGCAGGTGGAGAGAAACATAGCAAATTCTTAGAACAGGGGACCCTCTCTTTGTTAGATTCCGGAATAAACACTTCTGCAGAACAGGAATTCAAGAGCATTTCTTTCCAACTTTGCTAATGGTTAAAGTCTGTTGTGAAAACGAACCAAGGGCTGTTTGCAGGATCAGACCAAGCCTCTCCCAACGTGATGCCTTGGACTACAATTTTCATTAGACCCTGCCAACGCAGCCTCATGGGAGTTGTAGTCCTAAATGTCTGGAGAGTGCTAGGTTGGAGAAGCCTAGTTTAAGCTGAAATTGAGGGCTTATCCATACAGTTGTTTAAGGTGGTAGAACGTAAGAACAACTGGCTGCTGGATGAGGCCAATGGCCCATCTAGTCCAGCATCCTCTTTTCACAGCGGACAGCCAGATGACCGTGGGAAACCTGCAAACAGGATCTCTCTTCCACTGTTTGACATCACAATCTTAAGTGCTAATAGAAGCTTAGAGATATGCAGTTCATGGTCTTGGTCCATCTTTTGGCTGTTCTGTTTACAGGAGGAAAGAGGAAGAAAAGAAAGGTCTGCACCTCCAGATATCCTCCTCATCAGGCTCTCCTTCCATCTTCCTCTTCTTGCACAGTACATGGGAAATTAATTTCAAAGAACTACCACCACCATGTTCCACACTCAAAGTCCCTGAATGGTTAAAATGAGTTTGGCTTCTTATTTTCTCATCTTGGGACAAGTTTAGGTATGGAGATCAGGAGCCCAGAAAGAAGTTTTTCTTTGAGACTTTTGAGTCTAAACCAAGAAATATTAGCAACCTACAGGGACATGGACATTTGTCAGGGAGCACTGCACCATGGGATACAGAGTGTTTTCAATGGATTTTCCAGGCTGTTACTCGTTTCACAACTATCTTCCCTGTTAGACACAAGTGTGTCATCTTGTAATGGTGAGTGGGGAGAAACATACCCTTCCCAAACCCTGATTCTGAATATCATGGGATGGTTAAAGAAGGTGGGGAATTATACATCAGTCCCTGTTGTCTCAGGCCAATATTCTTCCCTGTATACACTTATTTGCTTCCTAGAGCTGTTCCCACCCTTTTTACCTACTGGACTTCCCTTATACTCTTCTCCAAATGCAGGGATGAGACTCAGAAATTTTGGGAATCATAGTCAAGAAAAAAGCCCCACCCTGACCCCTCTCACACATTCACAAGTTCACCTGTTCCAAGAGGACCTGTAGACCTCAGCCAATACCAAGGCAACCCTTAACTATTCCACAGATAGGAACTTAAACTTTTCTTGGCCCATGTTTCTGCAAGGGTCCTCTGCCTATTATTATTATTATTATTATTATTATTATTATTATTATTATTCCCCATCCATCTGACTGGGCTGCCTTCAGATGTCTTCTAAAAGCTGTATAGTTACTCATCTCCTTGACATTGGTGGGAGCCACCACTGAGAAGGCCCTCTGACTGGTTCCCTTTCCAGTTGCTGACCAGCAAATATTCAACAGGAAAAGCTTTTGCCCAGTACTGAGAAGTCGTGATTCGAAGAAACTTTCATGCCACTGTTAAAGAGCAGGTGTAGAACATTTTGATCCCCAGGTAAGAAGAGTTACGATCCCACTGCAAGTCCAAGGTTTCCTCCAATATTTTGTAGCTAAGCAAACCTGGAAACTCCAGGTGTTTCAGGTGTCTACTCCTGGAATTGGGACTGGGGGCTCAGACCTCATGAGAGCCAGTGTGGTGTATTTATTCTTTATTCCTTATTTAATGTATTTTTTAAAAAATCTCAAGTGGTTTACGTAAAACAAATAAGCAGATAACAATAAAATGTGCTGGCTAGAGGGCTGGACTTGGGACTTGAGAGGGTCCGGGTTCAAATTCCTCTTCTGCTGTGAAACTCATAGGATGACCCTGGGCCTTATTACCTCACATTGTTGCTAAGGGTATAAAATGCAGAGCTGGGGAGCTGCATTCAGCATCTTGAAGGAGAGAGAAGAGTGTTGAACTAGGGGAATGGGAGGCCTGGGTTCAAATCCTAAATACTTATGGGATTGCCTTACCCCAAATAGGCCCACTTGATACAGCCTGGGTAGCTCAGTTGGATAGAGAGAGGTGCTGATAACACCAAGGTTGCAGGTTTGAGCCCCATATGAGACAGATGCACAGTCCTGCAATGCTGCATATTCCTGCATTGGGCAGGCTGGACTAGGTGATCCTCAGGGTCCCTTCCAATTTGACAATTCTATTATTCTGTGACATCTCTGAACTGCAGAACCAGCCCTGCTACAGAGGCCACGTCACACTCACCCACACTTGTAAGAAATCAATATTTCAGCAAGGCAGCACCTACATACACTTTGGAACTCACGGCCTGTTGACGCCAGGCTGGTGCCTTTACTGTACTCTTTAATAATAATAATAATAATAATAATAATAATAATAATAATATATACCCCACCCATCTGGCTGGGTTTGTCCAGCCACTCTAAGGCATCTGCTGAAAACATTTTTGTTTAGGCAAGCCGGCCCAAACATAAACAACTTAACGGCCTCAAAGGCCCAGTGTACCTGAAGGAGCATCTCCACTCCTATCGTCCCACCCCTATTTTTCTGGACACTGAGGTCCTTCTGGTAGTTCCCTCCCTGCGAGAAGCCAAGTTACAGGGAACCAGGCAGGGGGCCTTCTCAGTGGTGGCACCCACCCTGTGGAACGCCCTCCCACCAGATGTCAAAGAGAACAACAACTACCAGGCTTTTAGAAGACACCTGAAGGCAGCCCTGTTTAGGGAAGCTTTTAATGTTTAATAGACTATTGTACAGTGGTACCTCGGGTTACATACACTTCAGGTTACATACGCTTCAGGTTACAGACTCAGCTAACCCAGAAATATTACCTCGGGTTAAGAACTTTGCATCAGGATGAGAACAGAAATCGTGCTCTGGCGGCGCGGTAGCAGCAGGAGGCCCCATTAGCTAAAGTGGTGCTTCAGGTCAAGAACAGTTTCAGGGTAAGAACGGACCTCCAGAACGAATTAAGTACTTAACCCGAGGTACCACTGTATATTAAAATTTTGTTGGAAGCCGCCCAGAGTGGCTGGGGAAACCCAGCCAGATGGGTGGGGTATAAATAATAAATTATTATTATTATTATTATTATTATTATTATTATTATTATTATCATCATCATCATTATTATTACATGCATTTTATCCTGTTTTAGCTACTGTTTAATCATCTTTTGGATGTTTCCAAATCCTGTTCTAACTGTCTTTATTGACAATTTCAATTATTTTATTTTTAAAAAAACCAAAATAGCTTTTTGTTCTTACAGTCAAGTGGGGTATAAACTTTGTTAAACAGATTTATTTATTTTTAATGCACCTGATAATCCATACGTAAGTCAAAGAAGACCTGCAGTCTTATCCCAAGCTAGTCCCCCGGACTTGGGGTGGTTTTTGCAGTCTTGGGTAACCTACAACCTACCCGTATCTCCGTTTATCTTCACAACAACCTTACGAGGTGGTCTCTCGCCCAGAAAGTCTGGCTTAGAGGCCGGGAGCCAGCCAGCCAGCCAGCCAGCCAGCCAGCCAGCAAGCAAGCTTCTGGGTTGCATCAGCAGGGCTGAGACCCAACTCCTTTTTCCTCCCTGACTCCAAGGCCACCCCACTCACCACCCCACCCTCCCCTCCCCTGGCATGAAGGGCTAGGAGAGATGCCACCTAATCTCCAACCTCCTTCCACCCTGCATCCTTCGTTCGCCACAAGCCGCCACCCCAGACCCCAGCCTTGGCATTGCCCATGGCTTTCTAGAACTGCCCGTCTCCTTCTTCCAAAACTCTTCTCGCCCGAAAGGATTTGCCGAGAAGGGAGCCTCACCTCTTCTTCACGGGCGGTGCCAGCGAACCGCAGATGGCGCGGCCGGGACAAAGCCCCCCAAGTCCAGCTGACCTTCCTGCTTCCCCTGAGGCCACCTCTTCTTCTGGACCTTGCAAGCTGAAGACCATGCCCAGAGAGAGTCCTTTGGTCCGCTTGGTCCTCAGTCTCTCTCTGCCTCTCCTCCCGGTTTCCTCCAGGCCTCCCTCTCCTCCCCACCCCCTTATCCTGGCCCAGCCCAGACCTGGCTCTCGTTCAAATTGCAAGCCCAGCTGCAGATGTGCTGCATGGGACGGTGGGGTGGGAGGAAGAAGGGGGGCCAGGCTCAGACTACCCCACCCCTGCGGGACAGAGACCCCCAACACCTCCCTCCTCCTCCTTTCTCCTTTGCCTGGGCAGCGCGGGAGCCCTTGCCGAAACATACCACCCCCTTCCAAACATAGGGAGGCTCTCCCCCCTGGATTCCTTTGCAGGAATGTGCAAGATGTGGAGGGCAGACACAACATGTGGGGAGGGGGGGAGGGCGGGGAGGAAAGACCCTCCCCTTCCCCAGTGCAGATTCTTCGAGAGAGAGGCCTGGGGTGGAGAATTGCAGGAGGCCAAGAAAAATAGAGCGAGGAAAGAGGGGAAAGGTTAACTGCGTCTCATATATAGCCCGCCTTTCAAGATCTGTTTTCTTTTCCTTTTTGGAGGGGGGGGGTTTCAAACGTCCATAGGAAGCAACAGACGAGACTGCAGAGAGCATCTTATTCATCACCTAGCCAGAGACTTATCACCTAAGCCCGAGGGCTATGGAGGGTTACTAAGCACAATGGCTAGTCGGAGGCAGGAACGCTTCTGAGTCCCAAATTGTGGGAGCGGAGATAATAATAATAATAATAATAATAATAATAATAATAATAATAATTTATTATTTATACCCCACCCATCTGGCTGGATTTCCCCAGCCACTCTGGGCAGCACCCAATAGAATATTAAAGGTAAAGGTAAAGGGACCCCTGACCATTAGGTCCAGTCGTGACCAACTCTGGGGTTGCGGCGCTCATCTAGCTTTATTGGCCGAGGGAACCGGTGTACAGCTTCTGGGTCATGTGGCCAGCATGACTCAGCCGCTTTTGGCGAACCAGAGCAGCATTTACCTTCCCGCTGGAGCGGTACCTATTCATCTACTTGCACTTTGATGTGCTTTCGAACTGCTAGGTTGGCAGGAGCAGGGACTGAGAAACAGGAGCTCACCCCGTCGTGGGGATTCGAACCGCCAACCTTCTGATCGGCAAGCCCTAGGCTCTGTGGTTTAACCCACAGCGCCACTCGCGTCCCAATAGAATATTAAAAACACGATAAAACATCAAACATTTAAAAAAACTTCCCTAAACAGGGCTGCCTTCAGATGTCTTCTGAAAGTCAGATAGTTGTTTATTTCCTTGACATCTGATGGGAGGGCGTTCCACAGTGTGGGCACCACCACCAAGAAGGCCCTCTGCCTGGTTCCCTGTAACCTCACTTCTTGCAATGAGGGAACTGCCAGAAGCTGGACGATGGGGGTGGAGAGGCTCCTTCAGGTATCCTGGGCTGATGGCTTTAGAAGAGGATTGGATAAATCAGTGGAGGAGAAGGTTTTTGATGGCTACTAGCCAGAATGTCTCTGCTCTGCCTGCACTTTCAGAAGAAGTTTGCTGGAACCCACAGAAGGGGAGAGTTACGGCTGTCCGTCGGGGCATCTGATTGGCCCCTGTGAGAACAGGATGCTGGATCAGACGGGCCCCCTTTGGCCTGATCCTGCAAGGTTCTTCTTCTGTTCTTACAGGGCTGAAACAAAATAGTTGAAGAGAAGCATTGTTTGCCCCATGGTGTGTATATGAACTCCTGTGTTTTGTTCCATTGTCACATCTGGCCAAACAGATTTGGCAGACTTTCGGAACAAGGCTGGAACTCATATTACCTGTTTACCGGAGGTGAAAGTGAGACCACTGTGTTAAGGATGGGCAAACTTGTCAGGTTTTTCTCTCTCTCAGTTCATAGTTTTCTCAGTTCTCCACATGTGCATTTTTTTAAAGTCTGTGTGAAAATTCTGAATTTTTGGATACTGTTTTAACTAATATACATGCTGTCCCACAATAGAATGCATTTATGCCTGTTATTTTCACTCATATAGGCATTATCTATGCACACACCTTAACACATATGCGTTTTTGTGCATTAGAGAACCGCATCACAAAATTCAGAGATGTGTGAATTTTGCAGGATAATTGCGTTTCAGGTCACGTCTCGATCTAAGATGTAAGAAGGAGTTAGTTTTTCATTAAAAATACAAACAAAGATCAGTTTGCTGCAAGGTACTCCATGTGGGCCTGGTTTGGTGCAGAATGCTGCAGTCAGACTGCTGACGGGAGCATCCGAACCGAGATCATGTGATAGCATTATGATAACAGTTGCATTGGCTGCCCACTTACAACCAATCCAGGTTGAAACTCCTGTTTGACCATGGAATGAACGACCTTCGAACGTGGTGGGACCCCCTCTCCCATTCACTGGAGGTCCTCTGGTTCTATGATTCTAGGACAGATTCCAGTGGCATGCTTTCAAGAGAGCAAAACGTTGAGGTCATCATGTCACAAAAGACTCAACAGATTGGGAGAGTGTTTCATCAGGGCTTCCAAGAAAGCCACTTACGCCCTGCAGAGGAGGTGGGATTGCGGGTGTCACGGTCCCACCACAGAATCCAGCGATTGGGGGAATCCCTGACCGCCTCACCCCCTGGCCAGTCAATCGTCTGGCTTTGGGGGCATGGCCTGCCCGATTTAAACGCAGGTGCGGCCGGGGATCTCCCTCTTTGCCACCTACCAGCTATTTCTGTTTCCCACCCTCCCGCCCTTTAAGGTTTTCATTCCTGGACCTCGGTTGGTTGCCGTTGAGGGGCCTGGTAGGAATTTTTCCACTTGGCAAATTGGCACCAGCCCCTTGGTTTTCGCCTACCTCGTAGCAAATCGTCACAACTTTCTTGGTATTGGCGGTTAGGCATTGGTATTGGTATTGTTTTGTAGATGGAAGAGGGGAGGAAGCACCATCACCTGCCCCGCATATTGAAGGGTAGTCCGATAAAGGATTCCGGGGGGCGTGGCCCTGTCCGAAGCCTATGGAGGTGAGGGCCTAAGGCACGCCCCCTATCGGTGACCCCAGGGGAGTTCCTAGTTGATGTGCATCAGCAGGACTCCCCCTACTGGTGGTTAACCCTTCCCAGACTTCAGGCAGACGGGCTGAAGTCGGATATAGTCGGTTAGGACCAATGCCTAAGCCAGTACCGCTCATCACCTGTAACCAACAAAGTTGTGGCCTTATTTAGCCCATTAACCTTAATAATTGTGTTGTGTGTCTTTATTTCCACTGGGGGGGGCAGGAACTCGCCACGCAAGCACCACCCAATGGAGACGGCCGGCCTCACACCCTCGAGGTCCTTCCTGACTCGTTCCGAGTTAGGTTCTAGATCCTGACCTTCCCGCAGGGTCAGGCGTCCACCGGCACGTCTGAATTCCCAGGGTGGCGGCTGCCCTCTGGGACACTGCTTATCACTCACCTCACTGCCCCGCCTTGTCCAGGGTCATGTTTTTGTCTGTAAATGCCCCTGACTATTTGTTGTTAAAAAGAGAGAGAGAGAGAGAGCCAAATCATGGACTGCAGACCGAACACACCCTGCTTGGGAAGGGCCGGCTTGCTTCCTGCTTGACAATAGAGGCCGTGTTACTAAATCCCCTCCGAAAAGTCTTTTGCCAGGTCCTAGAATAAATAACCCAAGTGGGACAAGGTCATTGTAAGGACCGACTTGTGGGTGTGGCCTTTGGGCGGCCTCCCCTAGACGTCCCGTGACTCAGGAATGCTCCCTCAGAGAGAACCCTTTGCAGTGTGATGGCCTAGGACTCTGGCTCAGACTCGGAACCAGAGGAGTCTCAGTCCGCACCAGATCCTTTGCCTCAGGCATCATCTGAACCAAGTCTAGGGCCTGATCCTGAAGAGCCCCAGTCTGCACAGGTTCCCCTGCAACAAGCACCAGTTGGGCCGAGTCAGGGGCCTGAGCCTGCCCTGGCTCCAGATGCGGGGATGACCTCCTTGCCTTCAGCTGGGCCATCACTTCCAGCTGCTCCACTACCGGTTGGGTCAGGGGAGGCTGAGGTGGCCCCTGGGTCTGGTAACCCACTGACATCTCCCGAGCTGCAGAGACTGAGGTCTGAGAGAAGGAGAGGCCTGAATACTTGCAGGAGGAGTGCTCGCCTTCGGGCGAAACAGGGAGGTGAGTCGCTGGGGGATCAGGACCAGCCGCCACCCTGACAAAAATAAAAGGCTGTCAGACCCCGTCCCAGGTTGCAGGAGCAACATTGCTGTAGGCTAGACCCTGTGCCTGACATAGCCTGGTTTCCTGCCTCAGGTCCTTCCTTGGCCCTGTCGGACTGACTCCAAGCAGAACCTCCGGATTCTGGACTGGTCCTGGACCGCATTTCACAAGTTATCCCCGGGCCCAGCACATGCAGAAGCTCAGGGAGGAATAGAAGCGTTAATTTGGTATCATTCACCCCCTTCAAGAAACTCTGGGGCAGAGCTGGATTACCCCACAGGCAGACTAAGCCTGTGGCTTGATTCTACGAAAGGCTACCTGGGGAGACAGAAAGTCTCAAACTCTGGGGTGGGGCAGGGGTCCTACCAGGCAAATGGCAGCCCAGATATGCAAGGGGTTGGACTAGATGACCCTTGTGGTCCCTTCCAACCCTAAAATCCTGTACTCTGCCAGAGAAAAGCATGCCCACTCTAGAGATTTCCAGGTGATGTACGAATCAGGCTAATCAGTAAACGCTTATTAGTGTTGATTTGTGCTTTAATTGCACATAAAATACCCAGGCACTCCCTGCTCCTCCATCTCTTCCTCTCAGTCTCTCTCATTGCCTGTTACGTCTTTGTCTTCTCCTTGTCTCCCTTCTGAGCACAGTAACAGGCCTGGGGTTACTGCAATCTACGCAACGCCAAAAAGCTTTTAGCCAGGCCTGTCTCCTTGCCATCTTGGTGTTATGCTTTAATAGCTCCTTAATGTTTTGACTGAGCGGTTTAATTCCAAGGCTCCCTGTTCCAGCCGCGCCATGAGGGAGCTCAACATGTCTTCCCATTTGCCTGATGTGATTTCCCTTGGCAGCAAGAGGTGTGACCCCGTGTACCGCTGAGGAGGCAGGTTTCGGGTACATCCTCGCAATTGGCTTGAACAGCAGATTGGTGCTGGGGTGCAGGGAGATTTCTCAATGCTTTTCAATAAACTGAGAATATTGTCCCTTGGTGGAGGAT